GAATTTATATTCAAAGGAACCCGTGGTTATACTTATTAAGTCATCAACAGCCTCCACTAGATATTCGCCAAAATCTAATCAATCTAGAAATCTCACTCAGTTCTTCCTCTTTTGGCTTGGGAACCTTTTCCATGATGTAAAGAGCTACCTTTTAGAGCCTCAGTTATCTGGATGATAAACTCTTTAACAGCTTGGAAAGAACAACTTCTCACGTCATAGTAAAAGAATTTACTAATTCGGAAGATGTCTGAATTTCACGTTCCGGTTTCAGTGTGCTATTACAAAGATCTTCGTTCACGGTGCTTAATTCTATCTTCCGAACAGAAAACGAAGTCAACAGGATAAAATACATATTTTGATGCATGTTACATTTATCCGTCGTGGGACTAGAAACCTTAAAGGCCCACTAACTCCCTCCGAAGTTCTTAGAAAAGATTAAACAAATATTTAAACCTACGCATAGATAACTCCTGAAGGGGGCATATAAATTTCATTGAAGCCTTAAAGTAACAATCTATAAATAAACTCCGTGTTCGTTGAAGTAGGAATGTACTAAATGGACACGAGAAAAAGGGTGTAGATGGGGAGAGGGCAGGGATTTGTGGGTGTGGGTGCTGAAATGTAGGCAATGAGTACGAATTTTATCTGTTTGGCTTCAGTACCAAGCATTTTAACCAATCATCGATTCCTGTTGAAGTTCTCTTCACTATAAACACACACCTAACCATTAGATGGAACAATAAACCGTGAATATTTGATGAAAGCAGGTTGTGGATCTTCGCTGTAGTGAAATTGCAAGTTAATTAACCAAATGGAAGAAGATATTGTCTCCCTGTACACTCGAAGTAATAACGAGATAACCCCTCTTTTGACTAAGAAAAAGGTGGGTAAAATGCACTGGATGTCACAGAGAGGTTCTTGATGCAATCTAGTGGACGAATTTCGAACTTTCGACGTTGAGCCGTGAACTGCCCAATTAGTCAAAATCGCAATGAACTGTGATCAAAAAGACGACAGGATGTGAGATTCATTGAAACCTTAGAGGTGCTTTTAGTGACCTTTTGGTTCTCTCAGCTATGTTATTCGGTGTCAATTGCTTCCATATTTAAAATGGAGGATGGGGGAAGGGGGGAAGTCATTTATTTGCATTATTGTTGGCAATGGTAATAATAATATTAATGAATATTGCGGATTTGTGTTTACCCAGGAACCTAGGAGACGATTACATAATTTAACAACTTCGAACACATTGAATCATACTTGTCAAGCTATTTCCCTATTCCCTGGAAAACTATTCATTTTACACCTTTCCAAGTTGAGGTACTTTACTCTGCAAATGGCAATGCTAATTTTTTCTTTCATTTTACTAATGGTTTACTATGATCTCTGGGTGATTCAGCTCCCCTGTTAATTATGAGACATATTATCTCAAAAAACTCTCAAAATCCATGGCCAATTGAACAATGGCACCTGAAGTGCGTCGGTAAATTGAATTCGGGAATTCGGGTGCCGATGCATCAGCCCTCACGAGCATTCCATTGTTGCCAAGACAAAGAATTCGTCCTTTTTAAGCACAAAGTAATGACCAGCACCAACAAATAGGAATTTAATTGAGAGATTCTACCATATCCCCCTTAATAAGCAAGACCTCACCCCATGCGATTATCCTGTTTTAGGGGTCATGGAGATTACTCTAAGTAAAACAATTTCGAAATGAGACTAATTTCGAAAGTTACTTAATTTAAACAAAAACTGATTTGTTTTAAAAAAATGGATAAAAAATTACAAAATCAACGGGAAAGAGTTGAAAATAATGGTGAAATTTGCATTGTATGAAAAATTAAAAGTATTCAAAATTTTAATTGTGTTTTGAATTTTTACGTTTATTTTTATTGGTTCTCCAGTTATATACGTGGGCGTTAAGCCAAGTCGATGCTGTAAACGATTACTGTTTGCAGTGCTTCTCTTATAAATTAGGAGGTTTTTTGAAATCTTCTCTTATTGTAAATCCGTGCAGCGTTTAGGTTGGTCTTCGAATTGTTTTCTTTCCAATGTATTATCGACGTTTAGGATAGTTTTGAAATAAATTTTTTCTATTGTTTAGGAAAATATTAATTCACTGATGGTTAATAGATTCCAAATGCTTATATTCGGGACTCATTTTCAATAGTAAACTTAGCAGATGTGGTTTAGTTTTCATGTGAAAGTTGAGAGAAATGCTCACAGCACTTGATTAGGATTAACTGAATGCATTCAGGATCAACTCTTATGAGTCTCCAATACGCTACCGCCTCTCGTCTTGACTAGAATTAATGGACATTGGTCTCGTGATCTTCCAATTTCCCATTCACGTTGACCACAACGCCACTGGCTCACACTGTGGTAATGTACATTTTTTGCACTTCTTTATACTATTGATATTAACAAGTGCCGGAAGGGTTGATTTTCAGTTATATTCACAAATGGAAATTTATTACTTGTGAATAGACTTTATGATTTGATAAATTTTGATAGCATATCCCATTTTTTTTCAATATGTAAGATTCCTATTTGATTAAACATTTATTTTGCAATAAATCTCAAATTTAATTCAGGTGACTTTAGATTCAAAGAATGCGGGGTGCTTGATAGACCTACCTCCACGTGGTGCACCCTGGGCAACGTATACTCATACGGCAAAGAAGTCTATTAACTGGCGATTGACTTCTGGCGCAGTACTCATCCTACCTTTTCTCTGCCTTCATGTCTGTCTCTTTACATCTGTAAATCACTCTTCTGTTCCCCACCCCTCGACTTTCTGTTACTTTGATGTTCCTTCCCCCTGTGAAGCCCGAAATCAGCTAAAGGGCTAATGATAACTATCAAAACGCCTGCCATTTGATATAAATAAATAAAGATTCAAAGAATGCTGTTAATTGATCAATCGCTTCTTCCTAGAAAACAAAGAAGTTCATAGCTTTGGTTAGTTCCGACCAACTCAATACCATTTTGTGCCATTATTATTAAATATCATAGAAAAATGCTCCATTTTAATTAATTAATTGATGAAACCGGTACACTGCCCTCGGTACAAATCTTCATTCCTTAAAATTAGGTCGGAAACTTAGAATCTGCAAACAAATTCGAACTTAAATTGGCATTCAGATTAAAGAATATTCGTTGTTTGATAAGAGAATCAATTTTGACTACAATAATGTCTCTACTTTGTATTAGAGGCGTTATTTGGCAATATGAGATTTGCGAATCTCCATAATTTAGTATGCACTGAACGTAAGTTGATTTTGTGAAATGATTGAGTGTAACCTTGGTTGCAATATCATGCTCTTCTCATCCAACTGCTCATCTGCATTTCAACTGAGCAAAACAAGGGAGATTGAATACCGAGGCATTGACATTTAGATTTGAGAGATTTGACACCTCATTGCCCCCCCAAGAAATCAAATGAAGTGAAACTCTTGACATCCTGAAACCCCCATTAAATTCCATTTCGAACAACTGCTCAATCTAGAATGATCCAGTGCATTTCCATTGGCAAATGTCTACAGTGTTTTATTATCTGGTTTACCTCATTCCAGGGGCCAAACTATTTTTTGTTTATTTCGAACGCGTCGTTTTTAATAAGGAGTTTTCATAGCCAAGTGACAACTAGTCAGCAAACAAAACCTTGGCACATAAATCGAGCGTAAGATGAGAATACGTGGGAAGCCAGATTCGAATGCGAATTTCAAAACAAAATTTTAGGCAAATCTGGTTTATAAATCTGTAAGTATTTTTTCCGTATACTCTTGTTGAATTAGTAATGAAAGATAATTGATAAAGGTGTTTTATTCATTTCCCTCTTAGCAAGCAGAGAGGTTATCGTTAAAAAATTAGAAAATTAATTAATTATATGTTATCGTTGAAATTGGGTCGATTGTCATTACTCTTCATTTTAGCCTTGTCTTGGAAAAAAATGTTCTTTCTCTATTAAAATGCTCTCCATCGGTTAGGAAATGAGATAATTTTGGATTTTCATTTTACTTCAGTCGATTGCTTTCCTTTGAAATATAGTGAATTGGTGTGCTGAGTAGATGCTGTTATGGTGAAATTGCATGAATATTAATACCTTCAGCCAAGCGGCATCGCGTGAATTCAGTTAATCCGTGTTTGAGAATTTAAAAAAATATTTCTCTGAAGTAAATTCTCTGCAATGAGAAGACCTTATAAATTTTTTTCTCATGTAGAACTCATTCCAAAACATTTTCCCAGTTGACGAAGTTGCACTTTCGGCCAAGACTTTTATAATATCACTTAAAGTACCCAGTACTTTAAATGTTGTAGGTCAATCAACTTAACAAATCTCAGCACATATTTTTAAATTTGAGTTGAATATTGAAAATTGGCAGGTCAAATTTCAAGACTCACACACACACACACACCAAAATTAGTGCCTTAAAATTATTAAGTCTTTTTTTCTAATTATTGTACAATGCATAAGGCTAATTAACAAATTTATTATCTTGTGTAATTAACTACCAGATGTCTATCAACACTGGCCGCTCTGTATTGCATAAACCAATAAATACGGTCAAATGGCAGTTGATTATGATTAATAGATTAATGAAAATAAGTGCCATCTCAAAACACTTTCTAGTGCCAATTTCAATTTCCTCACATTGTCTAGTTGTAAAATGTGAAAGAATTTTCTTCCGGGAAGAAGGAAATATCCTTATAGAAAGTTGATATGAATCTTTCTATTAATTATATTCTCTTCATGATTTTGTGCGAATTCCATATTTTTATTTTCTCCGGATTTGAAGTCACATAAAACCTATAAATTGTGACAACTTTCTAAAGAAAAATTGGACAAAAATCATACAAACAAATTGTCATAAGTTATCCCATTATTGTAAATCTAAAATTTAAGTCAAATATATCTCTAATTTTATTTCATTCCGATAGATTGTGCAATTCTTTTAATACTGAAATTAGCAAAATTAGCAATGATGTTATATGTTTTGTCAAGCAGATTCTAAATTTAATAGAAAGCAGGTTGGAATAGATTAGTTAATGAAAACACAAAAAAACTAATTGACAATAGAAAATGATTTCTGAAATATTTTGTAAACCATAATCTAAGCCATACTTCTCATTAACTATGAAATCCCTAATCAACAGTAAAATTTTCAAAATTTAGATTTTGCAATGAAAGAGCAGCAATAAAACAATATGAGACCTTCAAATAAAACAGGGCTACATTTAAATAACCGAAAAGAATATGCTTACCGAGCTCGCCTTGTCGAAGATCTCCTAGTCTAATAGTTCCATCAGCTATAAATTCCGGATAATGTATTTTCCGTGGAGCGATCCCAAGTACATCCGTCCTGCACATTGCAGAAACGATTTCAGGAGGTCTCATCCAGACAATACTGCATGGAGGTCGACGACTATAGTACAAGCTGCTTTCATCAGCTGGAAATGATGGGTCACAGAACAGTCGTCCCAGCATTTTATGTTCCGATCGAATCTGTTCAAAAGTCTCTGAAGGAATTGGTAGATTGTTACTACTGGTCCCTGCGTTTAGAGGTGTCTGGGAAGAAATTTGGTCTGAATAAAAACAAAAAATATTAGTAGTTTTCTTAAAATCAATTATAAATAAAATAATATTTTAAAATTCCTCAAAAAAGAATTCACAAATATGATTCAACTAACCTGGTTCACTAATAATTCGTGATTGATTATCAATAGAACCACGAATTAGACTTTCTGATGACCTTTCATAATGGGATATTCTTCCGAAATTTGCATTATTAACAGTTCGTAAAGGGGGATCATTTCCGATTTTATTAATACTATTGTTAGAGGATTTAAATGATCGGCTCATATTCATTTTTTCTCTGTAAGATTAAAGCAAAATTTATATTGATCGAAAAGTGTTCATACGTAACGGTGGTAAGAATGCTGTTTCAGATTGTGAGCATCTAATAACCTTGAAAGGCAAACTACTGTGGTTTGGTAAAACAATTTATACTCGCTTTATTTTTCCGAACTGATAATGAATACGTATTTTGAATACTGAATATTTTTTCAATCTAAAGCCAATTCATCAAGCATCCATTACCTAAGTACGGTAATTTCCTCGAATTTATTTACCTTGTATATGTTTTCTTTATAAAATGAAATTGAATTATTTTAGCTTATTAATCTCATTTAACTTATCTTTTACGTTATTATGTTTAATTCCAATGTAAATTTTAGTTTTTTGTGGTAGGTAATATTTATGAAGATGCAGCTTAGGTATAATTTAATGAATTACCAAGTAAAGGCAAACACAACAACGAGTCGATAGCTGTATAGCCTCAACAAATTATTTGATAAACTAGAACTATCGTTATGTCTGTTCTGTCGACTTAAAATGTTAGCAATTTAGAAAACTAACCTAATTCTGATTCGTTTTTATCATATTTCCTATGCATTTCGTACTCTTTGCAGCCGGATCAATTCTCAAATCGATTGTCATATTGCCAACAATTTCATTTGGAAGGCGTAAAACGTTAATCATTATTCAAAAGTATTATGTATAAACACCGTTAAATGCAATTTATCACAATAAAATCATATCCAGAATAAAGCGAAACCATAAACATTACGTCTGTGTCATTACTCGTCATAATTTTCTATTTCACTGCTAAAATAAACAAAAGTAGTTCTTTTTAGATGTTATGGAGAAAATAAAACACTATATTGCCCACCTTTTTAATCCGCTCAGTGTCCTTTCGGATTTATTGCTTTCTCCTTCACTTCTGCTTAAATCTGTTTCTGACTAAAATGTAAAAAAATTAACTGCCAATTTCTCTTTGCTATATTTTAATACTTTAACGTTACGTGTAACTTGCCCATTCCTGAAGAAGATGTGATTCAGTAGATGTGTCCACTTTATTTACCAAATTGTCATGACCCAGGCGATCGTTTCCATCAAGTTGCTCATTTTCTACCTCCTCAAACTTTAATTTCATTGAATTATCGCCTTTATTTGATGAAGATTTTGAAAATAAACTTTGATTTCTTTCATTTGCCTTCCTAGTAGGTTTGGCATCGGTGGTTTCACCGAAGTCAGTATTATCTTCCTCAGAGACCTTTAAATTACCACTGGACCCTGTCGTACCTGTAGAAAGGGTTATTCACGATTTTAAATAAATACTGAGACTGACCACTCACTAACTCTGAACTTGTGTATTCTGTGGATCTCTCGCTTCTGTCATTTCCATTATTGAATTCCCCATTTTCATTTAACAACTGAACTGCATTGGCATTTTCATCAGTTTTCCGAGAAAGATGACTTAAATCAAGCTTTGAGTCGGCAACTTCCTGGCCGTTGTGTATTAAATTTAGAGCTTCCATTACAGCATCTCCCGATGACATGCTATGCTTTTTCGCTTTCGTTTGGCTGGAAATCAATACTTCGCCTGTTTTTCTGGAACTATCTCTATTTGACTGAAGAATTTCAGCCGCAGATATGACACCTTCCTGTGAAATGGGGCTCTCGGCACTTAGTGGCGTTACAGGTTGTTGTTTATCATCGGATTTTTTAGTTCTAAAACGCGAATACATAGTGAAGTAAAATAGGTATTAGAGTAAAACAGTTTCTATTTCAGGTATTGGTCTACTGCTAAGCCAACGATAGAGGCTTCCTTTTTATCTACATTAAGATAAGGAAAGGGGAGACCTAACACTGCTTGGTTAAAGGCAGATGTAGCAAACGTAATTCGTGATTTCACCTTTAATTAACTCATCTATGTTGAGCTAATAAATTGTGAGGAATACAACGCCCGCGTGGATGAACCAAAGAACCTTTTTCGCGCTCGAACATTCTGGAACATGAGGACGTGATACTGATCACACTAGGGAGTAAATGAGGTCACGAGTACAGACACCTCCCAACCAATCAACAATCAGTAGGTACGCATGGTCCATATAGCCGATATTCTACTCAATGTCTAAGTTCCGTATCAATGACACGCAGCCCAGCTAAACGTGTTCCATGCAACACATCTGCTTAATATTTATCGTTGAGATGGGGTATCTAATCCTGGATTCCAAAATTAGGAGATCTAGGCAAAGAGAGAACTTGGCATAAGTCAAGGCTCATCAATGTAGCTATTCACTACAAAATAGTCTACTCCTCGGCCATATTAAGCAATAAAAACACCAATATCTCATCCTTCCAGTCTATCAACTCAATATAGTGTACACTGGAACAATAGATTCTTTATTTGAAACAATCTCCTCTTTTCATTGATCAAGATCCCTAATCGTGGGGTGCGCGATAGACTTACCTCTGCATGGTGCACCCTGGGTAACGTATACTCGTGCGACAAAAAAGTCTATTAACCGGCAGTTGACTTCTGACTTCAAACTATCATGACCCAACTGTATGTCATATTCGACTACATTCACAGTGTTCACCTTTTTCTCTACCTTTGTACCTGTCTCCTTTACACCTGTGAATCACTCTTCTGTCCTCCCTCCTCGACTTTTAGTGATTTGATGTTCTTTCCCCCCTGCCATTGAAGTCCGAAGTCAAGCCATTTTATATAAATAAGATCCCCATGCTTGTCAAAAAAGTCTTCTGTCACAATCCAATGACCTTTTCTTCCCATTACGTACTCGTTCAAGAATGGATTGGAGATGGTTCTTAGTTATTATTGCATTGGCATGACCTCTCGGTAATAATTAATTACGAACAAAGCAAAATGGAATTCGCGCTTACTTTAAAATACACCAGTCTCCGGTAGAGGACGCTTGTTGTGGCGTCACTTGTGACTGATACGCCGTCTCCGAGTTTTCATTATGCAAAATGTTTCCAACATCGTTCGTCATTACCTGCAAAAGTAGTAAAAATGATTGCTTCTGTGTCTATTTTTTTTAACTTTCAACATCGTCTTGCTTAAAATGTCTCACTTCGAGTGGCATCGATCGAATGAGAGACAACTTTCTCAATTGACGAATGTCAGTAGATTTCATAGAGTTAGTCAAATAGACGGTAGACAGGCGATTTCCAGGACATCCAATTTGACTGCCATCGTCAGTCGGACTATTCATACGCAGGGCGGTTGAAGAGGGCGCGAAAAGTTCCTCCTTCCAACGACTGAGAGCTTCATCAATTCGAGCGGACTCGTGATCTAGAGTCTTGAGGCGTTCACGAGCATTTTCAATGGTGGCTGATGTGAGGCTTAAAGAAGCGTTTTCAATGGCAAGTACTGATGCGTTCTTGGAATGCAAATCGTTGACTAAAATTTTTTGAATTCTTTGAGTAAATGTCGAATCAAAGGTACAATCCTAATTCCGTGTTTAATAAATTTAATATGTCATTATTTGTTGCTTCCACCCTGGGTCTGAAACATATTTCTACTGTTAATTCTAATGCAGCTCATGATAAGATTATTGATTGACACTCAATTAATATGCTACGTAAGTTCTCAAGTTATAATGCATTCATTGTTGTCAAAATGCTGTTAACGGTTGTTTTCTTGGTATCATCAGTTTGAAATTACCCCGAAATAATTGTCGCCTCATTTATTTTTGACACGTTATAACAAGACCCGTCAATATGTTGATTCAATGCACCATTTAACTACTTAATTTGTATTGATTTATTTGTTCTTGAATGAGGCAATTTTAAAATTGTATGCTTAATGGAGTTTAAATAAGTAGACTTTAAGCGATAGAAGCAGATGATTGAGAAATGTCACTTACAAGGCGAGATACCAGTATGTGATCCAGTTGGTTGATAGCTTTGATCTGCAAGGCGATTTCGTAGTCTGTGTAACTCTCCATCTCGTTCTCGAATTCGATCTTCCAGCCTATCGTTTTCTGATTTCTTAAAAACAAACAGTATAAGTTTAAGCACGTTAAGGTATAACTTCGCGCTTTTTAAATGTACTCGCCAAGTGACAAGGATAATTCGTCTTCTACTCTGCCCCAGTGGAGTAGCCGTGAACGAAGTTAAAAGTTCACTAATTACTTAATTGCCTCACACCTTATATAACTCTGAGAAACTGTCTAATGATTAGCTTTATATTCATTCACTTCAAATGGCAGGCGTTTTGATAATTATCATTGGGCTTTTAGCTGTCTTCGGGCTTCAGAGAGAGGAGGAGGAACATCAAAGTAACAGAAAGTCGAGAGGGGGGATGGGAACAGAAGAGTGATTCACAGATGTAAAAGAAACAAACAGACACCAAGGCTCAGAAAGGGTAAGATGAGTACTGTGGAAGCGGTTGAATATGACATACAGTGGGGTGATGGTAATCAGAAGTCGACTGCTGATTAATAGACTTTTTTGCCGTATGAGTATACGTTCCCCAGGGTGTACTATCGCATACCCCATAATTAGCTTTATATAAGATTTCAATAAACCAGCGGGCTCTGGCCCACACAACTCCTGTTTCGGTTTCTTTCTAAATGGTGATAGCTGAAAAATGTTACTCTTAGATATATCAATCAATCAATGGAGGAGCCCTACCAACTACGGTCTTTCTGCGTTTTTTCAAAATTGTTTCTTAATCCCACTCTCTTTGGGTTTTTCCTCCACCAAGCGACAGGGATATCACTATTTCTCCATAACTCCAGATACCCTATCTACCATATCTAGATGACTTCACCGATTACTCTT